CTACATCAGCACTGTGGAAGTAGAACTCTACGTCTTAGACCAAATCTATTGTAACAAACTAGAGATTTGACAGTGAGACTACACAGCCAATCCATGTTCTGCTGCATATGTGAGGATATTTTAGACATGTTGAGACTATTACCGCGATTTTTAATAACCTTCATCTACGGCCGGGTGCTAAAAACTGCCACATCTGAGGCCTTATTTAACCCCACTTCTGATTCCATGTCTTGAACTAAACTAACTGAAAGTGTGATTTTTCCTTTACAAGGGGGAACATCGAGTGTTAATGAGAAACGTGTGAAATCTACATTTTGTAACTGTGTAATGTAAGAAAAATGGCCGCATGCCACGTTCTTTTATCAGCTGGCAGGTTAGGTACATTCTTTTTCTCTTTTCTTTTTTTCCTGTCCAACCAGTAAGAAGTGAGTGTTCATATCTTATTTCTTCTCTTATTATGATTTATTCAGATTAACCTTTGCTGCTTGTCCTGGTAATGTGTTCCGATCTATCAAACACACCATGTGTGTGTGTGCGGTACAGTATACAGTATATGTTACGTGGGTTCATATTTACACACAGGGTCAAAGCTTAAATGTACTGTATGTGTGTGAAGTCAGGTGTGTCAGGATTTATATCCGTACCCATTATGTACGTGCAAATGTGGGTGTTTGTAAGATTATGGCTTAAGAAAAATTAACCATTCATGGTTACAAGGATCAGGATCAGGCATGTGGGTAAATCACAGCTTGGGAATTACTATAATTTGCAGTTGCAATCATTAAATGATTTATCAGAATTCCACAGGGAAGTCAGACACCCCCCTCACCATCACACGGGCTATGAACATTTTTTTTTTATATCTTTATGTAATTTAATCCCAACCACAAAGCAGCTCTCTATTTTAGCTACTGTCATTCCATTCTTCACAGAAACCATCTGACAGCGGTTTGGCCTCACCGGACAGATGACTCCACTCACTTCTAATAGTGGGTTTATAAATCCACAGCAATCAGTTTTGCAACTGTTGACCCTGCCCAGCTGCGAGGAGCGTGCCGAATGACAGTTCCTCGCAGCCCTCAACCTCAACCACCTGACCCTTTTAACCTTTCCTCCTCCGTCCTGCTCTTTTATAAGACAAAGCAGAAATGAGGACACATCAAGCCGGGAGTGATAGCTGATAATTAAGCACAAAAAAAGCGCTTCTCCCTACTATCCTATCTTTCAATGTTCATACTTTATGTCTTTTTTCTTTTTTTTTCTTTTAGGAGGAAATGGTTTTCACTCCCTTTTACGTTTTGCTTTCTCCAGTCATCAGTTTATCTCATTTGGTCAGTTCCAGTAAGAGAATTGGTTCAAAGAGGTCAGAATAGAGAATAGAGATGAAAAATGAGAGGAAAAATGAGAGAGTAAAGAGTTCTTTAAACCGACCAAAGGCTAGTCCTGTCAACATTGATCTTGTTCCACAATGCAAAGACTTGGACTGGAGAAACACATGTCCAGAAAGTCATTCTGTAGGAAAGGGCTACTCTCAGCCTTAGGTTTTCATTTCCAAACAATGTCTGTGACCTTTCTACTGTATTACTTTCCAAAAAAGAATAATATATTTAGCATTGAAAATATCCAGCATTCCCATGTAACTAACGAAGAATCTTGTCTTAAATAGCTTGGTCACAGATCATACCCGACTAAAAGATAATGGAGGAAAAGAAAAGAGTTGTTGA